ACTGCAAAAATGAGGGACGAGAAAAGATAATTTGCCCTAATGTAAAGTCACATTATCACCATGTTCGGATAAGAACATAAATGACATAGTCGACAAAGGTGCTAAGTGTAATGGAGACAGACCCTTTATAAAGAACATGGAAATATCCCCTCATGCATGGAAGCCCATTATATTCACATAAATCTTGAGACACAATGTCTTCAAGGACACTTACAATGCACTATTGGGTACTTGAAAACTTCAATATTTTTTAATATATTTTGTTAGAGTAAAGTTGAAGATAAATATAGATCTATAGATACATATCATGAATATATTTTTCAATATTCAACTTTATAATTTATAATGATTCTTGATGAAGCTACAATTTTCTATTTCGTGGGAGATAACGATTTAGGGTTATCCTCGTGGTGCGGTAGGATACACATGTTCATTAATTGTATAAATGACATCGATAGCATACGATAAATTTTTTGATTGGTACAATGTAGTATGTATGTACTTTGTTTTAAAGTTTTTAATTTTTATTCTATGTTAACGATGTAAAATTCGAATTTTAATTTACTGAGATCATAAAATGATACAAATGAGTGGATAAGTGGGTCCTACAAAAAAGATTGTTAAAATTAACATTCGACTTTAACTTTCAAATTATAAAGAGATTATAATGTAAAACAAACAAGGACATTACTTAGTAAATCATTAAGCTCGATTAAACACTCGCGCGATCATAAATTTACATAAACAACCGCGATAACCTAAGTTTTTATTCACAATAAATTTGAAATCGACTATATGTATCGTTTTTATCTAACCCGTTCGATTAATTCCTCACTTGTAAATAAAAAAGAAATGAAAAAGATTGAAAAGGCTGATAAAAAAGAATAATACATGAGAGGCATGCATGTGATTACTGCTAAGATGCAGCAGTTTAAAAAATTATTTCCCAGAATAAGTTGATTATTCATGATCCACCACTACTTTTGCTGTTCTCTCTGTTATTTTAATTTCAACACAGGCCATTTATTAATTATTTAATTTCATAATAGAAGAGTGGCTTGGGACATACTTCTGTTTCACAACTTTTTTAAATATATGCAAATGTTATTAAATTATTATTATTATGGAAAAATAATTAATTAAGATGGGAATCTGATTAATTAAAAATCAATTAAGTTGCAGGTGTGTTGATCAGAGATGCATGGGATCCCACACAATACTAGCTAATAGCATCTTCACAGTGGGAAAAAAGAAAACACCCATTCGGGGGTGGTCGAATTGGTGGAACAGATCGCGGAGACCAAAGGTCACGAGTTTGAATCCCTGCCAACACTTCCTCTGTCGAGCCCATCACACCGGACTTGTATAGTGCGATTTACCTCTTCTGTGTGGTTTGCGGGCTCCATCACAAGGAGCGGGATTTACCTAGTACACAATCACAATGGTCGGGCCTCCACCTTTCAGAGTGGTCGAGGCTCCGCTGATGGGTAGCGGCTGCGGGTTTCTACG